TATATATAAGTATGTATGTATAAATATGTTCATAATCTTAAAAATTCTTAAGCCTAAGAAATTTGTAAAGTATATCTATATTTTAATTTAATCTACTGCTCAATTAGACAACAAATAACATTTGTAAAAATTGAATTAAAATTCAAAAACTTCAACACTCTAAATATGCAGTGGAATAAACAGAATACATATACACGAATGGACGTGCCTCGAAACGCATAACAGTACAAGTATAAATCCCTGTTCTGCTTTTGCTGAAGAGAAGATATACATATGTCTGGAATGATCTAAGTACAAGGCCAGCCGATTCCCTTTTCGTCTCCAATTTCGAATGAATCATTGATATTAGCATTCCGCCCACTAAGGTTTACTATGTACACGTTCCTTATTTATTGAACGAAGGCCACTACTCGTAATGATAAATTAAATTACTGAACTTCAAATTATATCTGCATTATGTACATAGAGGATTATTTAACTTGGGAGGATCGACGTGAGAAACGAACAACTAAATAAAAAATGAATTACGACGAGTTACGATTCAATTTAAGTTTCGATGAATTTAATTAGAACTGATGGAGATACTAGACGTTTCAAGGAGCGAGACAATATTTCTTCGAATTTCAATCTTAGTTTACATTTCATTATTCTCCGCCATTCGTTAAGTACACTTTAAGTTTTGTATATTAAGTACTAGAAGTATCGTTTTAATACTTGCAAAATGTTTGCTGCCTTCCAATAATACTTTTTTATACACAGTCAATAATTATATCACGACATACTCTTTTTACTAGACTGAATGTACGCGTTCTGTTCTCTCAAATGTTTAAACACTACAGATATGTAGATACTTATTTTGATTTGAACAAATTTTTTGTTCCAATACTGTTAATGCATATTTTTACCTACGAAAAATATTAGAACAGAAAATTGTGTATTGTTAAATGTAAACAAGAAGCTTAATTTCCAAACAGAAAACATGCTTTGCAATTACACCTTATGTTCGCATTTATAATCGGTCTAAGAAATAATGAAACACGTTCAATGTTGTTACTTAAGTTTAAAAATTTGGTCAGTGCGATAACGTTAAAGAATGACTCACCGATTAAAACGCAGTAAGTTAGAATCGTGCGACGAAATATTCATCTGCATGCAAAAATTCGGAACGTTCATTTCGCCTGAGTGTTTCAACTTCTTATTGTCATGTTACGTTCTTAAATAATTCCTTTGCGTGGATGAATATCCGAGCCAATGTTTCATTGAGCATAACGTAATATAAACCGAGTCTTACACCTTACGTCGTTTATAAATGCAGGACACCTTGGTCGTGATTGAAATGATTCTGGTTATGATGATGGTGATGGTGATAGTGATGGTGCTGTGACGTGGAAGTGGTCGCGTCGTCTTGCAGTGTTACTCCAGTTAAATCGACGATCTCGTCCGCGTCCTCGTCGCTGCCAGTCGCTGCGCTTTGCGTCGACTGGTGACTCCCAGAAGACAATTGACTATTACGCGAGAATGACCCGCGTCTCGGAGCAGCTAACGCCGCTCTTTGGTTCGCCGGCTTCACCGTGATTATAAGATTCGACGAATTGGCAATCATCATATCCGTCACCTGCAGAATTAAGAAAAATCAATTAGTATAGAAATTATTTGACAACTGAACAGTGGACGATAATGGTACGTACTTGATCCAGAGTTTTCCCAGCAACTTCTATTCCATTTACTTCGAGAACCTCATCGTTCACTGCTAGGAGTCCTGTACTTTCTGCTAAGCCACCCGGCACCAATCTGCTAATAAATACGCCCGGAACTTTCTCTATGCCACCACCTGCGGATGGCGGTAATATTCTGAAGCTCTCGCCATCCTTAATGTAAAATCCTAATGGCTTGTCAGAACCGTGTTTCAATAAACGCACGCGGCGGCAAGTCTCTGGTAATATATCTACGTCAATTATCGCTGACACCTATTTATCGTCGATAAAACGTATATTTTTAATGGAATTCTACTGATATCATACACTCATATATCTATGTACCCAAGACACACCTGCCTAAAATCGTGCGGATTAGATATAGCCAAGGACTTTGGCTTTCCAGGCGTGCCACCAAGAATACTGGATATTAAATTTTTTGGTTTCATCGTCCCATATCCATTTATATCTTCCAGTCCATCTCCTGTTATATGAAATCATAAAAGTTACTGTGTAAAAATACAGTTACAGTAGCTTTCATTAATATTCGGGCATTTAGTAACTTAAAATTTCAGTGCTTTGTCATTGTTTTTATGTAAGGGTTTACTTTAATACAACTTTAATATTGGATCGAGCATTTTAATGTTTTATGGGATGTTAGAAGGCTAAGTTTACTACATAATGTATTATTAAAATATTGTCCTAACATCCCAAATGAAACGAAGTCGTTTGATTCTGAACTTATTCTATTTTGAAGCACGTCGCACGCTGCGATGGCGTATATTTCGATGAATTTTTCAGAACGTATATTTACGCTTTTCGTATATATCGATGGACTTTTCAGGACGTATATTTACGCCTTTCGTAGTGAAAGGGTTAAATATTAATAGGACCCACTGTATCTACTGTGAGATCATCTTACCCTTCCTTTGAATGCAAATTCTGAGTAGTGGCCTAGCAGCATTTAAAGCTCTCGCCAAGTTATTGTCATTGTTAATAGGCAGTAAATCGCCATCAGTCGGATCGGTGTACCATATCAGAAAGCTCAAGTCTGGTCCAATATCGTGTCGTTCGGCCAGTAACTTTCTAAAATCCTCGTAACTAATGGCTTCATTACGGTTAATCGAGAATCTAATGATATCTGCATCGAACTGAAAAAAAATTGAATTCCTCATGTAACAACACTGACTAAATCCCATCGAGAGAATGCATAAAGTGAAGGAGCAAAAAGGGCGAAAATGAGATTTGAATATCAATGTTATTCTATTACTAATTATAGATAATTTCTTTTTGTTTGATAATAACATAGATAGGATGTAAGAGGTATGAATTAGAAAGTAGCTTACTTTGCTTTTTACTGCGACAATACTGCTGTCAACCTGATGATGAAGTTTGCTCTTAGACATGGTTCACAGTTCGAAGTGGATCGCGAATCGAATCGGGGATTCAATGCTGGCTTCCGATTTAACGGTATATTATCGAATCGGATCGGGGGCACTTATATTTTGTCAAAAGCACCTGTTTCGCAGATGAGATCGAGCAGGACCAGTGCTGCCAAGTGCGTTTTACATGCCCGCTGCCCGCCCGTCCAGTAGCCACCGTAGATGAGCGTAGATTCTCAAACGAAGAAACGCACGGCTTCGCGTTCGGTTTCAAGCGACACGATTACCGTTATCTAACATTCGGCCACATAATCAGACCACTAGTAGACGCGTAATTTACCAATCTGTTCCCAACGATGTATCCAGTTTATTATCACGACTTGTTTCCTCACCATCGACTTTCATCCATTTTGCCATCGAGGTTGAATCACGAAGGGGATTGTATTCGAATTAGAATTTCCTGCAGCACCGGTCGATATTGTTGCGCGTTCATTTAGCTAGATGGTGTTTCCGAATAGATTTTGTGGCCACACGCAGGCGTAGGATCTAGGGAAATCGCTTTTCTCTAGGTTCCTCTTCCTCGTAGATGGCGATAAAGTTTGACCAGCAATTTGTTCCCCCCTCAGCCTCTTGAATCACGGCTCCCCCTTGTCTAAAACCCTACTCATGTAACATGAGTCATGTTACGTCCTTTAGGTCTATGAGAACATTGCAAACTGCAATTTTATGTGTGTGTATGAACAAATGCAGGCTAGTCAAAGAACGCACAAGAATGAGAGGAGTTGCACTGTTGAAGTATTTTCCAATGTTCGACGATAGATTCGACGAACCTTATTAAATCTCTCCGAAACGTTCAAAGTACCTATTTTGTTTTTAACACAGTAAGTATTATTGTTCTAAATACTTAATACGCATTAATAGTTTTATACATTAATCATATTCAACTATGCCATCGCTACGCTGTGGATTTTATGCATTTGTAGAAAAATGATATCTACTGTACTATATATTTCCTGTATTAGCAATAAAAATGATTTATTTAACACGAAGAACTACACTCTAGTTGTTGCATTTAAATTATTATAAAAATGTTTGATACATTCATTTGCTTCCTCATTCGTACTCAATAATTGCAACAACAATCGATTAATTTTTACTTTCAGGATCTGTGAATGTAATTTTTAAGGAACAATGTTTTTAAACATCGACGCAGTACCAAATTCTATGTTACCAAGTAGTGTAAATAAGCAGAAATTAAGTAAAGAAATTTTATTGAAATTGGAAGATGATCTTGACATTGATGAAAAGATATCTATATTATTTTTAATGTTAAACACTGATGGTTACCAAGAGGTGTTCGATTTGTTGCAAAAATATAAGAAACATAAGGGTCGTATGCTTGGAGAATTCATTGACAAGCATCCTGAAGACTGGGAAAATAAGCTATTGGAATCTTTATGTATTATAAAGAATAAACAGATTATACGAAAATTGGGATTGTCGTATGAAGAATTGGACGCTCTCTACTTGCCAAGAACCAACTGTTCAAGACACTTGAATCCAGTATCAAAATGCTTGTACTTATTATGTGAACAGCTGTCGGAAGATAGGATAAAATTGTTACTACAATTTGTTAAAAATGATATGCCTGTGTATGACGAAAATTTAACTGACACAGACTTTCTTGAATTACATATGTTATACTGGATACACCAAAATTACATTTCGATATACTCAGGTTAGTCATTTTGCAGAGAATGTCGACAATCGAGAGATTTAATATATGATTGTTTGTCATTCCAGTTGGTAAAGTAAGACTGCAGAATTTGTTGCAATATCTGAAAAGATATGAAGATCTGGAACTTATTTATGAAGATTTAAAGACACACGTAAATCATCAAAATGTGTTGGATATTCAGCACATAAGTCCTACGAATGTAGATCATTTACGGGGCTTCTCCATGAGAGAAGAAGATACGCAAGGAGTATTAAACGTTAAAGAAAGAAATCTGAAGAGAATCAATAAAGGCCTTTGCGTTATTATAAGTCAAATGCTCTTCGCAAGTCAAAAGGTATCAAAACGTGTCTTATATGTTAATAATCGTTTATTTAATGCCTTGGATCATATGTGCTCGTATTTTCTTTAATCCTTTAATGACTAACCAGAAAACCAATAATTGCCTATTAGCGTTTAATTGAATTACAGATTTAATCATTTATCTGCAACCCTGATTATTGTATCATTAAGATTGTAACATGTATGCCCGTATCTTTTTTAGTACGAGACAAGATTTGGAACGATAGCTGATTGTAAGAAGTTATCAGACACTTTCAAAGGCTTCGGCTTCACAATTGCAATATATCATAATCTTAATAAAGACGAGATACTTAAAAAGATAAAAGATATTCCTACAGACTTCGGTACTGACTACGACTGCATTTTCTTATGTATTTTGAGTCATGGTTGTAAAGGTAAAATACAGTAAAATCTGTATCACTTTTTATTAAATACAATCACTGCGCATACTACATTTAATGGATTATAATTCTAGGCGGTATCATCAGCGCTGACGTAGAGGAAATCAGTATTGAAACGATTGACCATAAATTTTGCTGTACTGAATTGAAAGATGTGATTAAAGTAGTTATTATACAGGCTTGCCAAGGAGACTTAAATGGTAATTTTACTCTCAATTTAATATGTATATTAAATAAACTACAACATTTTGTAATGCGACGAGTTCACAGAAATATTCGATTGTAGGACAAGTAAACGATACACAAAGCGATGATATAACTACGGATGGTGGTGCAGATAAGGATGTTCCAAATATTTTGGCATTCCAAAATTTCTGTATATTCATGTCGACCATGCAAGGCTTTGTGTCTGTACGTCACAAAGAGGAAGGTAAAACGCATAACAATTGAAATTTATTATCTGAATCTTTGAATCTCTGAATGTTTTTCAGGATCTTGGTTCATACAAGAGTTTTGCAACATCTTGCAAACTGGCAAAAACTTGACCTTTACAGAAATTGCCGGGCAAACAATTAACTCGGTAATGAACAAGAGAGGGAAATTAAATGGCACCAATTCCATTGCGCAGTTACCTGAATTAAGACAATGGAGGTTGCACAGCGATTTCCAATTTCCAAATTGGTCATGCGAAGAGTAAAAAGATCGTGTTACACATAAATTTTTATATAAATGATGTAAGTTGAATAAAGTTATTTTTATAACTATTATTTTCACTCTACGCGCTTGTTCACTTTTTACACGCGTCTGTTATAATTCGGATGATACAGAAATAAATAATCTCGAACATGGTCAGGAAATTGATGCCGGCGAACACTCCTAAGAGGCCTCCGAACGTTGCTAAAAAAATAATTAAGGTATTCTATTTCTTCATAATAATAGTTTAATAATATTACCGAAATTGTGACGCCAGTTGTAACGCACGTTTCGGCGATATTTGATGGACACCAGATCGCCGAAGAATACGTGCGCTATACTTTGATTTTGCCAAGTTTTACCTTTTCTAAAAAAGAAAAATGATTTATTGTCTTTCCTGGAACTTAGTAGATATGGTTTATTATTATTGTTTGTTGGTTTTTGTACATTGTGTTGTAAAATTACTTGGGATTCATTGTGTACGTGAGACCGTCGTGATAAATGCGCTTATCTAAATCGCCAGCCGAGTTTTCCGCGAAATAACTATAAAACTCGCAATCGGGTGGGCAATTGCAAGGAGTTTTCTTAGTGTCCCAATCTATATATGATAAAACTCTCGCTGACATATCCACGCCTGGTAAAGAGGTCTCGTACCAGACTGAAAATTCAAATTAAATATAATTATTATCTCAATTATGTTGATCCTCAATTATGATGAGTAATAGAGTACAATTCAAAATTTGTTTGCAATATCCACTACGTGATTCTTATAGAGTTTCTCATGCTAAAAACGAATCCATAAGCAGAAATGCTGACACAAATATTTTACAGAATTTTTGCAAAAATCTGCGCCAAAGGGTTAAAAGTTTATGCAAATAGTGTAAAATACTTTGATCAAAACGTTTTTGGAAACTCGAAATGGCAAAAAAAGATGCCAACGATACGCGGAGTTCCCAAGCGGTCACCCATCTAAGTACTATCCGCGCCCAATGCTGTTTAACTTCAGTGATCGGACGAGAACTGGTGCTTTGCAACATAGAATGATCGTTGACACAAACGATGTTTCGCGACACGTATTTAAAGAGTGCTTTTTATAGATAAGCTTTATTAAATAATACAATTTTGCGATAACACTGAGCGAGACTACTGTTTTAACACATCATATCATAGAAAATGGGCTAAGATATAGGTTTTATGGTTTTGTGGGGATTAGGATTCGTAAGGTAGGATTATCAGAGTTAGTATTTAAAGATGATGTTGCAAGGTCAGGGTTCAGAACTGATGCAGTGAAGATAGGACGAAGTTTATACATAATAAAGCAATTCTATTTCCGCACTTGTCTTTGGTATGAGAAACTCTATAAGAATGACTTAGCGTAATTTTCAAAAATTAAAAGAAGTCTTTTATCAGACTTTGTGATTTATTGATAGCAATATTTGAATAAAAATGCAGGACTTACATCTGTACGTTTCGAGGCATTCACTGTCTCTCAAATTGCATATTCTAACTCGGACGTCTGCGAAATGAACGATTCAACGATAACAAGAAGGCATTTATTCATTTCATTTATGTGATTTATTCTGTAAAATCTGTTAATAAAATTGAACTAACCGTTTTGCGAATAGTAATATGGGACGCAGCCGCATTTCTTCAAAATGGTAGTCGCTCGACAGTTCGTCAAACAATTTATTGTTGAGTATCTGGCGGTATCAAATATCCACTTTGGGTTATTAGTTAAAATTTTATCTGTTTCGTTGTAAAACACGCAATTCTTGCCTCGTGCTCCTCTTATATCCGCCGCTGAAATCACCGTCGGTTGAACAGTCAAAAACGAGTATTTGTTCATGTCTACTAATTTGCTAGGTGTATCGTGATCAGGGTAGTTGTAAGGATCGTGAAGCATTATCTGCAAAAAGTAAAGGTTTTCAAATATTCTTCAAATAAACTTCTGTCTCTGAAGGAAGTACCTTCATTCCAATTGTATCCATGTTACTTGCGTGATAATCGGCAGGATCGAGATTTAACAGGAGGATCGAGATTTAACAGGATGTTAAGTCCACTTTGATACCCACAGGAAATCATATTAAGTGGTTTTATGCTTCATGACAAAAAAAAAACAATTAGGTAATATTCAGGCTTGCAGATAAATGGATTATACAGGGTGTCCCAGAAAAAGTGTTAGAGAGGTGATTCTGTAAGTGTTTCTGAACAACTTCCTTTGCCAAAATGCGAAATGAGGAATAGTTTTTGAATTATTAACGAAGAACACTGACCAATAATAGTACTATGCAATGGCCGAGCGTCACGATCCGAGCCAACCTACGCGTGCTCTCATTGGTCAGTGTTTTTAATAATTCAAAAACCATGAGTCACTTTGCACTTTACCAAAAGAAATTGTCGATTCAAATTTAGAGACATTTTCTGAGAAGTATTCTATTTTTATAAATCGAAATACTTCGGTTGTTCCTTGATCACGTCATACGTGATGTAATTAAAGCTACAGCAGATTCCATCGCGGGTCAAACTCGGCCGAAACAACCTACTGCAATCCTTCTCTTTCGACCTCCATTTGCACGATGCCAGTAAACTTTGACAATTCCGCGAGACCTGCAATCGAAAAGAATTCTTCTCACACTTCGCCTGTGAACTCGTCTTGGTTTAGTCGTAAAATACGCACGGCGTTCACGACCGTTGGTATCGAGAGTTCGTTCATGTCGAAGATGGTCTGCAATTGGGAGAGATTGTTCCGAGCCTGTGACCCAAATTTTCCGGGATACAGTAATTCGTACAGCAGCTTCATCTCCTGCACCACGAACTCCTTCGAGATGGACGGCGGAAGTGTTCTGTGACAATGACTATGTCCTGATGGCAGTTAAGAATGATGGCCGTCGGGTGAAAACGGACTCACAAATTATTGACGAACTCCTGCGACAATTTGAGGGATACGCGATTGAAATCGCAGACCGTGACCGCTGGAAACGGGTAATTCCATATTCCATGATGGGTCGATTCGATCACCGAGAGGAAGGAATATCGGGTGTAATACTCGGCAGCAACTTTCAGCATACCGAGCGCGGTCAACACGGATGCGACCACGATTATCGCCCATGCGGCTCTACCAAATTAATACGAAATGAGTGCGCGGTTCCGATTGTATATATAACAATACTTACCTTTCTATCATTGGGCGATGACTTTCGGAAATGTACTTACAACCATGAAGGCCAGTCTCGCGTAAGAACTCAAAAACTTGCATTACGAACTTATTAACACATCTTGTTCTCAATTTTCGCTGAACGTTCTTAGAACTTCCGGTTTTCTTCTTTCGACTCATGTTCCGAAAATTCAGGAATTCATTATACCAGAAAAATGCGACCTGGCACCGGAAAGCGCGACGGTATTCTAACGTCAATACCTCGTTTTTGAGGACGCACGATATGAACACGTGCGACGTTTCATAAAAAATTCATCTCACTTCCGATTGTTTCCTAGATAAATTCAGATGTGAGATACGCATAGAAATAATAATGAATAATTAACGTTTCATATTGTTTTGACTTTATTCACGATACGAGAACAAGATAATTATGAACTATACTAAACTGCGGACTTTTATGCATTTATAAAAGACATAAGCATACTGAACTATAATTAATGCGCTCAATACGCAAAAGCATAAAAAGTGTTGATAACAAAATGGATGCTGTGACATTTAATTAATAAATGCAAACTGAAATTAAGTTCCCAGTTCACTCTTCCAAATATTTTATTTTATAAAATAATTTGGTAAATCCGAATTGTTGAAATAAAAACAGATCAGATTAAATTTTCAATAGACGTGTCTGTCTACGTTTGAAGATGACGAATGGGCGAAGGAGGAACTCGAGGTGACCCGAGCGTTCGATCCTGCCGCGAGAATTTCTCAGCGGCTCCTCGTTTTATATTCGAGCCACTTGTCCGCTGTGCTCGTGCGAAATGAAAGCGTTCGCTCTCGTTCCGACGCTAGATTCTCCGTCCAGGGTGAAGGATATTGGTTGCGAAATGGCCCGACTTTGGCGTCACGAGTGTACTACTCGATGCCAGCTAACACGCGGTTAGAAGAGCGGCGGTGGCGGTGGTCTGCGTATAGCCGGCCGAGTGACTCGATTTGTCGGATATTAAACTGTGAAGATGCCGCACTTCGCCACGGCATCTGACTCAGCTAGTATCATTAATAACTTCGAGGAGATAGATAAAGTGCTAAACACCGTGAGCCGTGTGCTCGAGCACACGTCATTACCCTCACTACCGATTAAGGCTCCCTAAATGCACTGACCTTGCCTCGGATCGCGCGAAATTTGCTTTTCAAAGGAAACCCTTAAGCTGCAAATTCATCCAGCGAATAGACGTCACGTGATACCTTTGCGGGTACATGCGAGTGAAATTAGCCGCAGTATGCCAACTTCTCGCGAGTACTCGCAAGATGACCGCCATTTTACAAATAATTACTCATTAACACTAGATTGCCCAAGGAAGTATATAAACAATATTAAAAATTAATTTTAGACAAATTTCTTTACACATTATTCTTTCACAATGCAGTCATTTTGACTGCTTTGGGCAATATAGGTATATACTAAGTTTCAGTCTTTCTAGTGTTAAAGATGGCCGCGTCAAATAAAATGTCTGCTAATTGTGCAACAATAATGCCTTAGAAACCATTGTACATATTCTGAAGGATTGCCCTTAATACGGTGGATGATGAAGATGATTTAATGAACAAATATTTCAGTACGATGGACGACGAAGATGATTTAATGAATAAATGCATTTAGAGATAGTAATTCTCATGAATAGTAATTTCACGATTGAACAGAAGCACATAATTTGCAACCTGCTGGTCGTAAGAAGTCGTTATAATATCTTTATCTCGGCAAAGAAATCGTGAATTTAGTAACCCGTGCTCGTTGGCCCTGGTAATATGATATATGTGCGCCCCGTATATTGATATAATCCAATATTAGGGTGATTCCGCGGCACCCCAGTTCGAGCGTCACATAGAACTTTCGTTCCGCGGAGGGCAAATGTTTTAAATCGACGAGCGAAGACCGAAGAGGGAAGAAAGCTGGTATTTGGCACCACCCTCCTTCGTGCCTGTTCTTCGCCACCGCTTAAACGGTTTCACGGGAATTTCAATTGGAAAGACTTAACAAACATTTTAAAAGCTCGCCTAATAAATCACGAAGTGATAATAAGAAACACTTGTTTCATTATCATTTATCGTATAATGAAGAGTCGGATGTTTAATTAACGAAGCACTTAACATCGGCGTTTGGGCGATTATCAAGCGACAAAGAACAGTCGTAACGACCATAAATTCGAGCGTGCATTGAATGCATTTAGGGTGTTCGATGTGTACGTACCACAGCACGGTAATTTTAATTATGAGATAGTTCAGCCCGATGTCGGTTCCGCGCGAAGAAAATTACTGCACGCGGTGAGGGGGAGTTGAAATCCGGTGGATGGGGTAACAATGTATTATGCGTTCCCTCCCCCCGTCAACCCCTAGCGTTAACCGCAAACCCCTTCTATTCGCCCCCAACAATTCGTTAACTGCTATCGAATCGACTTCAACCGCTGTAAGTTGAATGCGCAACCCCGTCACCTCTGCTCGCCCACAGCGAAAGTTCACAGTTGCCTCGGCTAGAAATGCAACAATTAATCGCATTCTGTTTTCAATTGTTAGTCAACCAATCTTTGGGCACTATTATAAATGTCCCAATATCTCTTCATATACATTATAGTGTGGGATAGAGGGCGTTCATCTAATTTATCGTTCATATCATTACCTATTAACAAATTGTTCATGTTAGTCTCCTAGACAAAATGTTGTTTATTATAAAAAAGAGAATCGTTGTCGTGAAACGTTGAGAGTCGTCAAATGTCGAGTCCAGTAGTGAACTGTACTGCGGAGAGTCGAGTCGTAATCGTGTCGTTAGCGTTGAAATTTAATATCGCGTCGGAATATGTTTAAAGTGTAAGAATACGAATTATTATTGAAACATTACAATACTTAGAAATTAGTATTTATAATAGCTGCGGTTAATATCTATTTCAATTATATACCGGTTCCCAAATAAAATCCCACAACTTGGGGGCTCGTCCGGGATCAGCCAAGGAAACGGTGTGCCGATTGAATTAGATTAATTGGTGAAGTCCAAGTTGATAACGGTGTATAAGTGTGAAATGTCCCATGAGTGAAATTCGAGAAAAGTTGAACAAATTCAAGATTCCTGACTTGAAAGACAAATTAAGATCACTGGGATTGAAAACTAGTGGAACAAAGGCTGAGTTAATCAACAGGCTCATAATGACAGACGCGACTGGCGGAATTTTGGAAAACGGTGACACTGTATTCGAAGAAAACGGAGCACGAGTATCGAGTATGGAGAACAACGCGTCAGGTACGAGTGATAGAGAGCAGTATGATCCGCGTGAAATGGCGATCATGAAGAGACACGCCGAGTTAATGGAACGTGAGCTTGCGTTAGCGCGACGAGAAATCGAATTATTACAAGGAGCTCAACGAATAAATCAGTTCGTTGGTGATCAAACGACAAATCGAGGTGTGGGTCCGAAAATACAAATTACAGCGATTGCGGATCTTCTTGATTACTTCGATGGGAATGGTGAACGATACGAGAGGTGGGAAAGTCAAGTGAGGCTCTTGAAATCAACATATCATCTAGAGGATAATCAGACGAAGATTTTAATGGGCTCAAGAATGAAGGGAAGAGCTAGTGAATGGTTCCATTCGAAACCTGAATTTATTAACATGCCGTTCGAAGAGTTCCTAATGCACCTTAGAAGTATGTTTCACCATCGACAGAATAAATTGATATGTCGTAAGAAATTTGAAGAGCGATCGTGGAAGAAGGGAGAACCGTTCAGCGAATACTTCCATGAAAAAATGATTCTGGCGAATCGTGTTCCTGTCAATACCGACGAGATAGTGGATTATTTAATAGACGGAATTCCAGACTTGACACTTCGAGATCAGGCGCGAATTCAGAGGTTCGACACTGCTACGTCTCTTCTTGAAGCTTTCGAGAAGGTGATGCTGAGAGGAAGGTCAGAAAGCGGCAACATGAAGGGCTTCGAGCAGCGGAAATCTGACGGCAGAATGAAGAAAGAAGTCGATGAGAGGCAAGAGAACGTCGTCCAGAAGAGATGTCATCTATGCGGTGGGCGTGATCATTTGGCTGCTGTTTGTCCGACGAGAGAAAAAGGGGTAAAATGTTTTGAATGTAGAAACTACGGACATATTTCAGCGAAATGTCCGAAAAAACAGTCCGCGAGAGAAACTTTTAGCATCACGCGACCGGCTTACGGTAAATATTATAAAGAAGTATCGGTTAACGGTCGGAAAATGACAGCGTTAGTTGATACCGGTAGCGATATATGTTTAATGCGTGCGGATAAATATATTCAATTGGGTGTACCTCAACTTCGACATAAGGAAATTCGTTTCCGAGGAATAGGGTCGGACGAAAAGACGACGTTAGGAGAATTTGTAGCATCGTTAACAGTTGACGATAATTCATATCCGATAGTAGTCAGAGTAATATCCGATGATTTAATGCAGCATGATTTATTGTTGGGTACGGACTTTTTGGATACAGTGGAATTGAAAGTAAAAGAGGGAAAGGTTCATATAGCTAGAATAGATAGAGTTACACCGGATAGTTGCGATATGACCGATGTTGTAGGTGTTGATTACGACTGCGAAGTAAATAGGGTTGATGTGTCGTATGTGGTTAGTTCGGAACATCGCAAAGAAATCGAAGGCATTGTCGAAATATATGAACCTTCCCGAACCCGAGAATTGGATCTTAAAATGACGATAGTCCTTAAAGATGAGGAACCTGTTTACCAAAGAGCGAGGCGATTATCTCCTCTCGAAAGAGAAAAGGTTAACGCACTCATTGAGGAATGGTTACGCGAGGGTATCGTGAGACCATCATGTTCAGATTACGCTAGCCCTGTTGTTTTAGTAAAAAAAAAGGACGGTACAATACGGCTGTGTGTAGATTTTAGACAGCTTAATAAAAAAATTGTGAAGGATCGATATCCTTTACCCTTAATAGAAGATCAATTGGATATGTTACAAGGTGCCAAAATTTTCAGTACTCTCGATCTCAAAAATGGATTCTTTCATGTTGCAGTAGACGAACAAAGTCGTAAATACACCGCTTTTATTGTACCAGACGGTCAATACGAATTTTTGAGAGTGCCGTTTGGCCTATGTAATTCGCCGGCCGTATTCCAACGATTCATTCACGCGGGATTTAGGAAATTAATAGCAGACAAGGTAGTGTTAGCGTACATCGATGATTTGATCATACCATCAGAAGATTATGAAAATGGTTTGGAGCGGTTAAAAGTTGTGTTGCAGACTGCATCTGAACTCGGATTAACTATAAATTGGAAGAAGTGTTGTTTCTTGCAGAGTCGTGTAGAATATTTAGGGCATATTGTCGAGAACGGATCTATTCGTCCGTCAGAGAGTAAAACTACTGCGGTAAAGCGTTTCCCGGAACCCAGAAACGTTAAACAAATACAAAGCTTTATCGGGCTAACTAGTTATTTTAGAAAATTTATCGCGGGGTACTCTTTAATTGCTCGCCCCTTGACTAATCTGTTGAAAGCGAATGTAAAGTTCCGATTCGAAGAAGAAGAAAGAGTTGCATTCGATCGGCTCAAGAGTATACTAAGTGATAGTCCAGTACTACAATTGTACAAACCAGGCCGTGAAACAGAATTACACACTGACGCTTCCATGTATGGATATGGTGCTATCTTGCTGCAGCGTGATAGTGAGGATCGAGCGTTACACCCTATATATTATGCGAGCGGCAAAACAACAGGCGCGGAAGAAAAGTATGCGAGTTATGAACTGGAAGTGTTAGCGGTAGTAAAAGCGTTGAAAAAATTCAGAATATATCTCTTAGGAGTGCCTTTCAAAATTGTAACCGATTGTCGCGCGTTTACGTTGACCGTGAATAAGAAGGACCTGTGTGTAAGAGTGGCCAGATGGGCATTACTTTTAGAGGAGTTTGATTATACGATTGAGCATCGCCCAGGTAAAAACATGAGTCACGTCGACGCGCTCAGTCGGAATCCCCTCCCGCAAACCTTTGTAATCGACGAAAGCGAAGAAAGCTTAACAGCCAGATTAAAAAGAGCACAGTGTGATGATATTGAACTACGAAAAATTATTGAATTGCTGAAGCATCAACCTGTTGATGGGTATACTATTCGCGGCGGAATTTTATTTAAAAATGTTGGCGATGATGTAAAGATAGTAGCACCCAAAGCTATGCACGTGCACTTAGCCAAGCGCGCACATGAAAGAGGGCATTTTTCGATTAGTAAGACAGAATTGTTGTTGAAGAAAGAATATTTTTTCACCAATATGCGCCGCGTAGTCGAAAAAGTAGTACGAAATT